TTTTGGATTTAGGGCACCCTAGGCTTTACGGTACAAGGCGATATGAAGCCTAGGTGTGGAACCTTACGCGTTTAATTCTACGAGGCGCACGTACATAGAGCTGACCTTGGGGACCAATTGAACCCTAAAATTGGATCGTAGACACTATACTACTCTAATTCTTATTATGGTAGTATGAACCATAAAACCCTTTTAGGCTTCATTTGACGCCGCCACATGTTCACCCACGATACACCCTGAGCCCTATTCCCTAAACCCTAAACCCTGAACCCTGCAAAACCCAACTGCAAGCTTGAACTTACACCCCCTGAGCTTTCAGCATGCAAAAGCCTGGCATCTGCCAGAATTGAAGCCCTAAGCTTCTGTTCCCTTCCAGATCCTGGTTCAGAGCTTAGAGACTACTAGGCTTCGTACGTTTTCGGGCTTAAACCCTAAACCCTAAACCCTAAACCCTAAACCCTAAACCCTAAACCCTAAACCCTAAACCCTAAACCCTAAACCCTAAACCCTAAACCCTAAACCCTAAACCCTAAACCCTAAACCCTACCCCCTAAGCCCTGTTGTAGGTTTAGGAATACGGCTTAGCAGGGCTCAGGGCTTGAGGGTGTGATTGAGTTCGTCGAGAATGACATAGGTCCACGGCACGTACAGCCCTGTAGGCCACGAATCCCAAGCCCAACACTTGAACAACCCGAAACTTTTATAAACCCTGAACCCTAACCCCTAAACCCTAAACCCTTGAAATTGGAAGCTCAGCTTTGAACTCCCGTGTGGTCGCGTCGCAGATTCGGCACGGAAGGGGCGAACTTGCCGCGAGAGATTGGATCGGGTTCTGTGGTCAGGGTTTAGGGTTTAGGGTTTCGGGTTTAGGGTTCAGGGTTTCGGGTTTGGGGCTCGGGGGTTTAGGGTTAAGGTTTAGGGTTTGGGGTTTAGGGGAGTTTTGGGCCTAATCAGGGCAATTGGGGTGAGGGGCGTAGGTCCCTCTGCGACAGATGCTTACCAAAAGAATCGCGGTCGCCTCAAAGACCCTGAACCCTAAACCCTAAACCCCCAAACCCTAAACCGTAAACCCTAAACCCTAAACCATAGGCCGCCCGCGCCAGGCGGCGGCCGGTACAACTGAACGCTACCGCTTCGAGATCTGCTTGCTTTGCCAAGCAGATCGAGCTTGCCACACCTGATGTATCCCTGCTAGCCATAGGGCACAATGTAATAATGGATTAACCCTAAACCCCCGACGCGCGACCCCGGCGGGGGAGGTCGGGCCTAAGAAGCTGTTGCGCCCCCACCAGGTTGCCCCCGCCAGGGTTCCCCCGCCAGGGTTGCCCCCGCCAGGGTTGCCCCCACCAGGGTTGCCCCTGCCAGGTTTGCCCCCGCCAGCCAGGTTGCCCCCCTCACCCCGCCAGCCCGCCCGGGTTGCCCCTGCCAGGGTTGCCCCCGCCAGGGTTGCCCCTGCCAGAGTTGCCCCCGCCAGAGTATTTTCGCCGGAGTTGCCCCCGCCAGGTTGGCCTCGCCAGGATTGCCCCCGCCAAGGTTGCCCCCCGCCACCCCGCAGTTGCCACCGCCAGGGTTGCCCCCGCCAGGGTTGCCCCCGCCAGGGTTGCCCCCACCAGGGTTGCCCCCGCCAGGGTTGCCCCCGCCAGGGTTGCCCACGGAAGGGTTGCCCTTGGTGGTTGCCCCCGCCAGGGTTGCCCCCGCCAGGTTGACAGCGTTGCCCCCACCAGCAGGGTTGCCCCCTCCGGTTGCCCCCCCGAAATTGGCCTCGCCGCCTATTCAGGAATTGTGCACCTGTATGCTTCGTCGTCCTGTCCTTGTCTATGAAGGGCCCCGCCAAAGTTCTCCCTTAGTGGCCCACCAGGGTCCAGACATATAGAAATAAATATATGTTTATACCTCACCTTGCCCCTGCCAGGGTTGCCCCCGGCAGGGTTGCCCCCACCAGGGTTGTCTCCGAGGTTTGCCCCCACCAGGTTGCCTCTGCCAGGGTTGCCCCCGCCAGGGTTGCCCCCGCCAGGGTTGCCCTGTCAGGTTGCCCCGCCAGGGTTGCCCCCGCCAGGGTTGCCCGCCAGGATGCCCAGGTTTGTCCCCGCCATTTTTAATATGTTTAATCTACATTTTCTATCTTCTAATATTCCTTTAAGGAATTCCACTAATAATAAAATGGCTTTCATTATTAGTAAAGATTTCTATGGAAAGATATTAATTCTCGATCTATATCTTCTTCAAATTCATTTCGGCTTCTCTTCTTTCTCACATCCAGTGAATGCAGTAGAAGCATGTGGATTACTTACTCCCTTACATAACGTACCTGAATGGTTTCTTATGCCAATATGCTATGCTAAAAGCTGTACCAAATAAAAATGCAGGATTCATTATCTTTCATCCTATTTTACTTTATGAGAAGTCTTTCAATGTCATTCTATTTTAAAATTAAGACGTCCAGTAGATTTAATGGTTTTTATCGCAACCCCGCCGGGTTGCCCAGTTTTACCCCTGCCAGGGTTGCCCCCACCAGGGTTGCCCCCACCAGCGTTGCCCCCGCCAGGGTTGCCCCCGCCAGGGTTGCCGCCGAGTTAGGGTTGCCCTTGGCAGGGTTGCCCCGCCAGGGTTGCCCCCGCCAGGGTTGCCCCCGCCAGGGTGACATTGCCCTCGCCGGGTTGCCCTGTCAGGGTTCCGCGCCTCCTCACGTCGCCTACTCAGGAATTGTGCACCTTCTCTGCGACGGCCCTACGCACCTCGTCCTCTTCGCGCGCTGGCGAGGCTTCGTCGTCCTTCTCTATGAAGTTTTGTTTAGTTGCCGAGCAGGGCTTCAAGCGCGAAGGGCCCTGTCAAAGTTCTCTATTAATTACTTGCCAGGGTTTCCCATTAGTAGTCACCCCCGCCAGGGCCCCGCCAGGGTTGCCCCCGCCAAGGTTGACATATATATATATATATATATATATGCTACCCCCCCCCCCCCCATGGACCTACCAATTTCCTTTGTTTTGCTGGTGTGTGTTTGGCAGGTGTCTGAATTTTGTTGGTGTGTGTGTGTGTGGCATGTGTCTGAGCCAGATGCCCCGGGCAGAGAGATGACTTGGGAATTGGATGCTGTGAGCAAAGCATGCAAAAGATGCGACGGCAGATCTGTTTTACAGCGAGGGCGAAGCTCCACAGAGACGTGGGAGTGCTTAGCAAACATCAGATGGTCTTGGTTTCAGGCGAGGCGGTGTTCGTATGCTAGAAGCAGCGACCCCAGTCTTGCTGATCCTCTAGCACTCAAGCTTGGTGACAATGCTTCGCATGTACTCATCCAAGAGCTGGCCTGTGCATACCCAAAGATCCTCGTTGCGGCGCCAGTACTCGTACTGTGCACTTCACTACGGATCTGGGCTGCCAGCTGCTTGGAGGATGCCTTGCCATGCTGGTTTAATCGGAGACGGTCTTTGATAAAACGCCAGGCACGGTCGATGATTTGGGTGCCCCCCTTGGTCTTGATGACGGTGCCATCCGGAAGCTTGTGAGTGGAAATCTTCACATACACAGGCTTGACCCACACCCATTTGTTGCCCTTTTTGACCCTGCGTTTCTTGCGGACGACTGCATCGTGCAGCATTCCATCCGCCTTGCTGCGATATGACCGGGCCGAATCCGAGTGCAAGATGACACGCCTGTTCTCGAGCCACTTCTGGGCCACTGGAGTCCAGTCTACCTTGCGAATAGCACCTGGCCCCGGTGCTCTGGGTACTGTGATGGCAGGGCGAAGTTTGAATAGGACCAAGCTCTTGGGACATCCTCGCTGGACTAACCCTCCCCACTGTTCCCACTCAGTGTTCTTGCCTTGCTGGGCATCCTTCTCTGTTTGCTCCCACGGCTTCAGAGTCCGCTTGTCGAAGCAAGCCTCATCCACCTCCACGTCTCTCCAAGCCTTGGGGGCGCCCCCAAACTTGATGGTTTTCTCAACCTGTGTGACGTGGCCACTCCGGAGGAAGTTGAGATTGCTGTTGAGCCTCTCAATTGCTTTGTGATTTATGTTCGTGAGCAGATGGATGGAGGCCAGAGGAACTCCAGCGAGGCGAAGGAGGAGTGCAGTAGCTTGCACTTGGAGGCTGTGCCCTTCTGGACCACGAAGGACTGTGAAGAGGGGATGCAGATGAGCCGGAGAGACGTACTTCTGGCAGTTCTTCTTGTTGCACCTGTAGGCCTTGGTGTCCCTTGAAGGCCTATCAGACAATGGACCCAGCACACCTTTGTTGCAGAAAGGACATACACAACCCTCCCAGTTCGGCAGGAACTTGTCCTTCATGAGCATGTCCAAGATTTGGTTGTCGGTTGCCTTTAGGAGTTGTTGGATGTTACGACGCCACTTCGTCTGATCCTTGCGAAGAAAACCTCCTCCTAGTTTGTGACGCTGGTAAGGCACCTTGGACCACGAGGCTGACTTGACCCCTGCAGGCTTCTTCAGGACCATCCGTCCTTTGCCCTTCTTGGGATCAGGGAAGGGGTTGTAGCGCTTGCCCATAACTGCAACTGGCTATAGGAAATCTGGCTTGATCTCAAAAAAACTGCTTCACAAATATAACCATGCAGATTTCGAAACCGCTGCTGTCAGCATGCCAGATTTACAGGAACATTGCTTGCAAAAGACCTTTTCGTTGAACGACCTTCATTTGCTTTGCCACACACGTCAGACGAAGGTTTAGGGCGCAGGGCCATGTCGTGTGAGACGCGTTTTCTCCTTCTCTTACTAGCTGCAGAGCATCATGGCATCAAAATTCTCCCCGTATATATATATATATATACATATATGCATGATATGTTGAAATGTGTGCACTATGTGTTACTATGTATATAAAGAATGCACATATAAAAAAAGATATGTGAGTGACAAGGGGAATGCCATGAGCTAAAGTGCCGAAAGACAGACTCAGATGTTGGTTTCCTTTCAGTCGGTCTCCTGTTGGTCGATGATATCGGCCAGCTCCTGGGAGAGATTTTCGAGGCCTTCTTCATGTGAGAGGTCATCCATTAAATATTGGGTCATGAATGTCCATAGGCGAGCCTTGCGAGGGAGGCTTCAAGGGAGAGATGGGTGCAGCCATCGAGCCCGGTGAGGAAGGCTTCGAGAGGGGGACGGGTGCAGCCATCAAAGATGTTGGGCTGGCAGGCTCATTTGCAGCATCCGAGATCTCAGTCTTCACGTCTGCATATCCGGCACGCAAGGCCTTCTTTGGAGGCGAGTCAAGATCGATGACATGTCCCTGCAAACTGGAAAGAGCCCTTCGGAAAGTCACAGACTCTTTCTTGACGGCAACCGCTTTGGGAACCGAGGGCACTGCAGGCAGTGAGGAAGGAGCCGCGGCTTCTATGTCTCTGTGAGCAGGTGGGCGAGGTTCATCATGAAAGAGACGATGCTGGGCATCATTGATGATAGTCGGGTTGGGGAGTGGAAGGACCTTGTCATGAAGGACTGCATCCAGATAGCGGGCCTCCCAAGCGACGTCATCTTCGAAGGAAGCTGGTTTGACAAGCTTGTTCTCGCGATACAGCATGTACCTCTGCTGTGCCTCTGTTTTCAGGTAGTCCACGGGAGTTTGCAAGACAAGACAAGGGACCCGGTTCTCTTCCTGACTGGCACGTCTGAAGATCACCAGGTTTCCCGCGTTGACCAAGACATTGGCACGCTTCAAGACTGCCATGATGTGTGGTAGCTTGGTATCCTTAGGAAAGACTGGGGAAACGACTTCGAGGAATTGCTCATGGGGCATCTGCAGAATCGTGCCGGCCCGAATGTTTTGATGCTTCTCAATCCATTCAGTGGAGTCGTAGTCGTTGCAGACAAAGACTCTCATCTGCCCTTGGACGAACTTAGCCGCGCCCCACCGCTCTTTGGTCAACATAGTACAACCAACGTCGGTGAAACCTTTCATTTTTCTGATGGGTTCCTCAGCAAGCCGCCCATCATCATGAATGTCAGGACGGTCTTTGCGACCTGGGTGACCCCGGAAAAAGTCGAACTCGGAGGCCTCGCGATACGAAGGTGGAGATGTGATGCCTTGTTCACGTTTCCAAAAACGGGAGGCACACAGGGCTATGATTCTGGCGAGTGGCGTTTTTCCACTTCCCGGACCTCCAACTACCCCCACGGCATGTGTGGTCATGGTTTTGAGAATGGGGTTGACGCCAAATTTCAAAAGCTGGTAGTCCAAGTCTGCCAGGGTGAAGAAGAAGTTTTCTACGGGAAGTGCGAGGACACCATCGGTTTGGATGGCACGAATGGACTTCTCGACCGTGGAGATGGGCCACTGAAAAATAGGCGAGTCCTGGTTCACGTGGAGGTTTTTAGTGATCCGCTGCACTCGCTTCCACTCACTTGCGAGGTTGCCGGCTTCTTGTTCGATGAAGGCAAAGCCCTTGTCCACATCCTCCTCCGAGAGGGTAGAGAGATAGTAGCCTTGTTTGGAAGCCTTTTCTTGATGGGGAACAACTGCAGAAAGGGAGTAGCAGCGACACTGCCACCCTCCCAGCTGTTCAAAGAACCACCTGGGAAATGCTGGGTTTCAAAAAAAAGGCTATGAGGAGGAAAGTGCAATATTTCCGCCATCTCCTGGGAAAATTGGCATGTTGAAGTTTTTGGTTTTCAGGGTTGCCAGGCAAAAATTGAAATGTTGAGCAGTGGGGTCTTGCCAAAAAACGGAACGTCAAAAACAAAAAACGGCATTTCAGATTTTCAGAACTTGCATTTGGCCATGTCGGTTTGGCCCAGCTCTGTGGTATGTTGGCTTGTATCCTGGAATTGGATACAACTATATTACGCCATGAGGCCCAGAACTAAGCCTGAACTCTGGCAATACCTTGACCTGAAACCTCATTCATGAGACCCATCGTAGCCTCGGAGCATCCCAGTTTTTGAGGGCTTATCTGAGCCGCAGTTGCACTTTGGGGCATGATGTCCAAGCACTGCACGGCTTGCAAGCAGCAGGTACTAGACACCGGGCTTTCGCGCTCAGAGTTTGTCAGGCAAAAAGCTTCCAGAAGCGCGGCAGAGCCGAAACCAAACCTGGACTCACGGTTCAACACCTCAGCAAACCAAAACCCAATACACGTTAAATATAAACCCTTATATATTTATGGTGAGTGTCGAATCCCACTCATAACACCCTGAATCCCAGACCACATGGCGTGCGCGCAAGCTGGCAGACAGCACGCAGCTGATGTCTCAAGATTTGCGGCCTCTCCCGGTATTTCTGCCACTTCAAAATGGAAAAACTGAAACTTCGGGCTGGCCCGAAAAATTGCATTCCGGCGTTTTCCGCCATTTGACCGCCGATTTCCGCCATCTCGCCGCCTATTTCCGCCATCTCTTTTTTCCAATGTGTTTCAAAAAACGCTATTTTGATTTTCAAAAAACGCTATTTTGAGTTCTAAAAAAAAACTGATTAGCCCTCCGCCCTCTCCGTTCCCTTCCACCCCCCCCCCCCCCCCCCCCCCCCCCCCCCCCCCCCCCCCCCCCCCCCCCCCCTTCCGGTGGAGCCATCGCACGAAAGTTCAGTGTGTTGGTTTAAAGCTTAATTTAAGGTCTTGCATGATATGGGCTTAGGGTTGCGAATGTTTTATAGGGTGTTTGGGCTGGAGAAACGCCAATCTTCGAAGCACAGTCAGGGAGCAATGGCAAGAGCTCTCTTTTCAGGGTTTAGGGCTTGGGTTAAAGCGTCGGAACAGGGATTTGGCGTGCGTGCGAGGCATCGTACATGCTCTGCACAACGGTCACAGTTCTGCAGTGTTGGGCTTAGGGTTTTAGGGGTTTAGGGTCCATAGCATTAAGGGTTTAAGTATTGTAGGTTTATGGTCGATCTTCGTTGATCGAGACATAGTACATGCTCTGCGCGATGCCGCTGGAGCATCAACCTACTGCACACGAAAAACGCGATCTCAGAAAATGAAAAACGCAATCACAGGACTGACAAAAGGCATCTTCCAAAGACCGTTTGTCAAAAAACTTCAATCCCAATTCTTGCCCACCAAACCCTTAAGCAGCTGTTTCCGCCATTTCGTGGGGTTTCCGCCATCCACTGGGCAAAACCAGTTTTAGTTGAAACTACTAAAATTCTGTAGGGTTTGGGTTTCCCAGGCATTGCCATGCTTTCTTGAAATCGTAAGCGTTGCGACCATGCCAATTCAGCACATGGGGCGTGCCGTGGCAGAGGGTGTCCACGACAGACTTTGTCAGCTTGAGATCAGGTGACTGAACATGCTTGACTATGCAGACATTCCCGTTTGTGAGTGGGAGCACGGCAAATTGAAGGACAAGCTTGACGTCCAGCTTCTGCTTGGGACAGAAAGGCGGAGGAAGCTCATTCCATTTGCCAGCATTAATCAAGGACTCAATGGTATTTTTGTCGGGGGGCGGCACATTCGTGATCACATCCACGAAGTGTTTAAGAAGAGTGTTGGTATTGCCCAGCTCCGTCATAGGAAGATCCATGATGGAGATGCCGCCTAGGGCCTGATCAGACCATATTGGGTAGGGCAGTTGCTTCGAGAGATGCATGCCTCGAGTGGCATCGAGCCCGGTGCTCACTGCGGTGTCACCATCACGCTCAGCCATGGTGACTCACTCTTATCGTATCAGGGAAACGAACTACAGTAATTTGAGCTGAGTGAAGCTCCGTGTCATAGTATTGCAGCTTGCAGCTCACTGCACAGAGCGAAAGCAGACAGTACGCGCATGACGGCTCTGCAGGATTCCATTTTTTTGTGGATCGATGAAGTCTCCGAAACCTACATGGCGGCTCAGTGAGATCGATTGGCCTTGGGTACCAAAAGGTGGCACATGCAGATCACATGGTGTGCGACATTATATATGACTATGGCTCTAGATCAAGAAAATTTATATAAAACATGGATAGGGGTTCAAAAACTTGGGTAAAACCAATGCTTTGGAGAGGCAACCTTCAAGAAACATTGGTAAAACCAATGTTTTGGAGAGGCCACCTTCAAAAAACATCGGCAAAACCAATGTTTTTGGAGCCCCTGCTCAGGAAACATCGCAAAAACCAATAAAAACCATAAAAACCATGAATTTTCAAACTACTCGGAGACCCCAAGCCCATAGTTTGGAAAATCATGGTTTTTATGGTTTTTATTGGTTTTTGCGATGTTTCGTGAGCATGGGCTCAAAAAACATCGGTAAAACCAATGTTTTTTGAAGGTAGGGGTTCAAAAACATCGGTAAAACCAATGTTTTGGAGAGGCCACCTTCAAAAAACATCGGTAAAACCAATGTTTTTGGAGCCCCTGCTCAGGAAACATCGCAAAAACCAATAAAAACCATAAAAACCATGAATTTTCAAACTACTCGGAGACCCAAGCCCATAGTTTGGAAAATCATGGTTTTTATGGTTTTTATTGGTTTTTGCGATGTTTCGTGAGCATGGGCTCAAAAAACATCGGTAAAACCAATGTTTTTTGAAGGTAGGGGTTCAAAAACATTGGTAAAACCAATGTTTTGGAGAAGCTTGGGTCTCCGAGTAGTTTGGAAAATCATGGTTTTTATGGTTTTTATTGGTTTTTGCGATGTTTCGTGAGCATGGGCTCCAAAAACATCGGTAAAACCAATGTTTTTTGAAGGTAGGGGTTCAAAAACATCGGTAAAACCAATGTTTTGGAGAAGCCACCCTTTTTTGAAACATCGGTCAAGCCGAGGTTTCAAAAAAAAGGTAGGTCCATGGGGGGGGGGGGTACCATATATATATATATATATGTAGAGAGAGAAACTTACTGGCCCAAAACCCAAGGAAATAAAAGTTGGAACTTTCAGAATAAACTACCTTATAGGAAGCCCAAAAGTTGAAAAGTTGGGTTTTGAGCCAGTAAGGAAATAAGAAAGTAATGTTGACTTCACATTAATGATTCCCGCTACAATTATAAAATCCAGCTGCCGGAACACAATAATGTAACCCCCACAATTATAAAATCCAGCCCGGAATATTTTTTTTACGGGCGCAGTGCTACTACCTAATACTAAAACTAATAGTACGTCCTACCAGGATTTAGGCGAATATAATTGAGGAGGCCCTGGCCGGAGAGATTGATCAATCAAGGAAGGGGGGGGGGTTTATTAATGCGAAGTCAACATTATTTTTAATACGAAAAAACCTCGCCTTGCCCCTTCCAGGGTTGCCCGTGCCAGGGTTGCCCGTGCCAGGGTTGCCCCCGCCAGGGTCGCCCCCGCAGTTGCCCCCGCCAGGGCCCTTGCGCCAGTGGGCCCTCGCCATTCTGCCATATGAATGAGCTTGGGTCCGGAATTGGGCTTGAGGGTGTTTTAAACACAGTATGGGTGAAACAGATTTTCCCGCTCCCTGTTGATCCAGGAAAGTGTAGGCTCAAGCAACAGCAGCAGTGAACACGTCCCACCCCGGCCAGCGGGGAGACTCGAGGTGTAAGCCCCCTTGATAGGGGGGCCGTGGAGGGTAGACCGCTCTTAACCCGAAAAAGGCGGCAGTTTGGGTGGCTGGGGTGGGATCCGCTGCACCGAGGCGGCCCGACCCGCCACCACTGGCGCGGGTCGGGACCGCGGCACTTTGGAACACCCTTAACCCTAAACCCTGAACCCTAAACCCTAAACCCTAAAACACCCCTACTTAGATCGTGAGTTGGGAAATCATCTGTTTGACCTCGGCATCCTCGAGCCCTTGTTGGCCACACGCCATTTAAGGGCTGATCTACGTCCTGGGCGCATTTCTCATAGAAGTAGACGTGAGCCCTATAGACCCTAAGGGTTTAGGGTTTAGGGTTTAGGGTTTAGGGCCTAGACCCTAAGGTGTACGATAACTTCGCCCCGCATGTAAGCTCACTAGTGGTTGGAACAGTGAACCTAAGTTCCAGGCCCACAAAAACCCTAAGCTACCCTAAGCCCTCCTAAACCCTAAACCCTAAGCCCTAAACCCTAAACCCTAAACCCGAAACCCTAAACCCTCAAACCCTAAGCTACCCCCCTCGGCAAATTCATGGCAGCTCCGGGCCCGACGGACCTATGAACACTTGAATCACACCTACTGATCCCTAAACCCTAAACCCTAAACCCTAAACCCTAAACCCTAAACCCTAAACCCTGAACCCTAAACCCTAAACCCTAAACCCTAAACCCTAAACCCTAAACCCTAAACCCTAAACCCTAAACCCTAAACCCTAAACCCAAACCCTCAAGTTCCCGAAGGTGCACGCCTATCCACCCCTTAAGAACCTTAGCAAAGATGAATATCAAAATCTTCCCCTGGGCTTTCTGAAAAAAATAAGGGTTCTTAAGCCCTAAGCCCTAAACCCCAAACCCCAACCCTAAACTCCAAATCGAAATCCTGAACCCTAAGCCCTAGACCCCGAACCCCAACCCTAAACTCCAAACCCCAAACCCTAAACCCTAAACCCTAAACCCTAAACCCTAAACTCCAAACCCTCGACGTCCCGTGCCCAGTCGCGGCCTCTTTGGTTGCCGCGCCCGCCGCCGGGCGCTGCGTGCTGCGGTCGCAGCGGAGAGTGTAGCGGAGGCCTTGGCCGCCAGAAATCATGGGTTTAGGGTTTAGGGTTAGTGGTTCAGGGTTTAGGGTTTAGGGTTTACGGTTTAGGGTTTAGGGTTTAGGGTTTAGGGTTTAGGGTTCCCCTACTAGCTCCCTCTATACTACCCCCCCACCCCCCTACTCTCCCCCGGTAATTAAGGCTACTTAGGCCTAAGTAAGGTTATGTAAGGTTAATAAACGGTGTATACAATAGGGTTTTTAGAAGGTTTATATATTGGGGTTTGTAGGGTTTATATTCATGTATATACTAGGGGATTTTAGAGTTTATATTCATTGGGTTTATAAGATTTATAGAGGTTACAGGGTTTCAAGGCACTTTTCGGGCTTAAGAATTTATAGGTTTTAGGGCCATGTTAGGGCTCAGGAGTTTAATAATTCCTCCAACCCCAAAAGAGTGCTCAACCAAACACCTCAAAAACAAAACCCTCACCCCGTTGCAAAGCCTCAGCACTGCCGCTACTACGCTATGAATGCTCATGCAATTCACGCGCTCGTACAATGAGAAGGAAATGCATGAATGGTTCTCTAAGCACGTGCACGAAATTATTTCACTTCTAGTGTGTTGGCGACCAAAACCCAAACTTGCCCTTCATGCCTTTTAATTTGGCGAACCTTCTGGTCTGTTGGTATATTATTTTCATAGTAGTATCAAGCCCTAAACCCTGAACCCTAAACCCTAAACCCTACACCCTAAACCCTGAACCCTAAACCCTAAACCCTAAACCCTAAACCCTAAACCCTAAACCCTAACCGCAGGCCTAGCAATCAAGGCCTTTTTGCTCATATTTAATGGGCTCTGCCGGGTTCACTTCGCTCACTTATTATAATCAGTGACGCGCTTCCTGTCTGCTTACGCTAGTCCCTAAACCCTAAACCCTGAACTCCCTGAACCCTAAACCCGCCCGCCACCCACTCTCTTGTCTTTTGGGGTAGGCGGGCGCTGGTCGAGCGCTCAGTGAGACCCTGCGAGGGAGCCCCAGGCGGGCGACCGAGCTGGCCTCCAGGCTGGCTTACCCTCCAGGCAGGCACAGGCCGAGTCAGCAGTTGTCACTGTAGAAAATTGCCGAAATCCCAAGAACCCAACCTTTCCGCGCACATGGTTGGGTCCTGCATTGGAGGGCCCCCTGGGACGGCCCCTTGAGACCCCTGGTCCATCACCCCCGTCCGCTGGGCTGAGGGGACCAGGGGCCGTTTTGTTGGGGCAGGCAGAGCTCTGGCCAAAAAAAGCCCTTTCTGGGTCTGCAGTGCCCCTGGCCCTGGCCCTGGTCCTGGCCCTGGCCCTGGGCCCTGCCCGCGCCCTGGCCCTGGCCCTGGCCCTGGCCCTGGCCTGGCCCTGGCCCTCTGGCCCTGACCCTGCCCCTAACTGGCGCTGGCCCTGACTCTGACCCTGGCCCTGGCCCTGGCCCTGGCCCGGCCTGGCCGTCCCTGACCCTGATCCTGACCCTGACCCTGACTAGTTTTGCGGCCCTCGCCCCGGCCTCTGGCCTGTTCGAGTCATCTTACCCTCTTGCACCAAGCCAAGCTGTCTGCGCACCAGTTTGTGTCCTGTTTCGGGGCTCTCCCTGTGGCTTTAGCCCCTTCGCGCCAACCCAATCTGTCCTGCCTCGCTTCCGTTTGCTGCAACTTTGTGCCTGGTCCTGACCCTTGTTGGGCACCCCACCTTACCCCGTTCGCGCCAAGCCAAGCTACCAGCCCTGTTTTACTGGTTTTTTTGGTTAACCCAAGCTGTTCACTGTGTGTTCTTCCTGGCTGGAGCCCCTTCGCGCCAACCAAGCCTCGCTGCCTTTCTCTGTTCCTGGCCCATCCCTTAGCCCCTTCGCGCCAACCCAAGCTGTCTTCACGGACCCTGCCTCGTTTCCGTCTGCTGCAGCTTTGCGCCTGGTCCACGCACCTTGTGGAAATCCCCAAAAAAAGGGTGTGAGTGCTGACTCATGTGATGCTTTGTAAAAAAATAAAAGGTCTTAACTCCTTGAGAGTTGTAAGTGGGCGGTCTTGGGGTGGGTAGGTCTGCAGACTACCGCGCGCTCCCAAA